GAGCCGCAGCCTGCCAGCTGGCGCCTCGGACGCGCCGGGTCCTCCGCCCCGCTTCCCCCGGCCCGGCGCCCCCGCCGCCCGCGACCGCTTTTTGCGGCGGTGACCCTCATGGCCGCGCGGGCTGCCCCCGGGCCGGCCAGATGTTCCCACCCCTGGACGCGGCTCGCAGCATTTCTCCCCGCGCGGGGAAGCAGAGCCTCTGTCTTGCTGCCCCCCCAACCCCCGCTTGGGCCGGGCGCGGTGGGGGGTCGCGGTGCTTTGCCGGCGGGAGGCGCTCCGGCGCAGGGCGGTCAGAGGCGCGGGGAGCGCATCCTGCAGCGCTGCCGGCGCCGCCTCCGCCCCTCCTCTCCCTGCAGCTCTGCCAGCAGCTCCAGCAAGCTGTTCCCCAACCCTTCTTAAAAAGCTACTAAATCTCCGCGGTGGGTGACAGGGCCCTTCTGTTTTCTATGGGAATTTTCCCAAGAGGCGGAGATTATAGAATATTTACCAGACACAGAAAACCTAATGGTTTTATTGCTTCCCACCCCCCATTCCTTTTTTTTTTCTTTCCCAACTCCCTCCCTTTCAAGCCCAGCCAGCCTTCCAAGGCCCGCGGGCACATCAGCCAGGGAAGGCGAGCGATGGCTGCGAAAAGTCTAGCCAGATGCCCTTTCCCAGTGCGCGCTGGTCAAATGTTGCTGGCCAGGGCCTGAGGCAGCACCTTTCCATGGGTCCCACTCTGCCAGCCCCAGCCCCCCCTTCCTCCCTGTGGCACAACAGCGCTAAGCTCTTTAATTTAATTTTTTTTTCTCTTTAACAAAAGCAATTACAGAAAAGTGCAAATCTAACGTGTGACATTTCCCACTTGGCAGTGGCAGGCAGGCTGTGCTTAAATGGGGGCCTTTCTGCGGAACAACAAGAGCCAAAAGGCCTTATGTCATGGAGTAATGTAAGACACAATCTCGCCTGAAAATGCACAATGAATCGGGAAGGATTTATGTAATTAATTGACCAGTCTTAACCTGTTATCGTGATGTAAGGAATTTGGAACTCATTAATTTGGGCCCTGACAGATTTCATATTAGAGCTGGCAAATATGGATTGAGCCTCTTATTCTTGTAGCAGCTGGAATTTCCATGACAGTGAGGATTAGTGAAGAAGACCTATTGCTGGAGTCAAACTGCCTCTTTTGTAATCAGCAGCCCTGCTCTGCTTTAAAGGGATAATGGGAAAGAAAAAAAAAAGAGAGTGAGCCTGTGTGCATGTGGCAAAGGGGGGGGGAGGATATTATCCTGGTGATGTAGGTAGGAAGGGTGGTTTTGCTTGCTCTGCTAATATTTAGATGGAGCCCAGGCATTCAGCATCTGAAGGAAAACTGGTTGCAATTAGGTGAGTGCAGTTATCTTGAGGTAAAGAGGGTAGGGAGAGGGCCATAGTCCCAACCCACAGCTTCGTGGCCTTGTCAAAGTTTGAGGCTTAAAAAGTGAGGGGACCTCTGTGGATCATGCACAGGGAGCCTAAGAGTAAGAGGTTACTAATGGAGATTCTAGTTTTATGAGGACAAAAGGGAGTTGGGATAATGTTTTAATTGTAAGAGAGCGCACTGGGGTAACTCATAATTGTGTAATGGAGCCTGGCCTTCTCTGGAGCACACTTACTATCTCTTAAACAGGTTTCCTTGGTGGGTTACGTGCCATCCTGTACAAAGATAATGAACCCTTTGAGATCATCTGTAATTTAATCTGTGTCCCGGTCACGCTTTACATTACTTATGAACCCACCTCTCAGGAGAGAGGGAAGGCATGTAAACTAGACTCAAGTCCTTCCTTGTCTATGGATTTCCCTAGTAACCTTGGCTAGTCACAATCATTACATGCCTCAGTTTCCCAGTTGGAAAATGGAAGACTATACTACTCTCTCTTCAATACTTAGAGACTATTTCTTACTATATATGTGTGCTCTCTCCATGGTCATTTTTGGGCACTACCATTATAATAGTAAGATATCCTGACTGTAAAGATATGTCCTTAGACCATTTTTCTTTCCTCATCAATTTGTAAATTACTGCGCTAAACATGGACAAAGTCCTCATAAGCACCATTAAATGTTTTAATGAGACCCCCATCAATTTAAAACTCACATTTCTTCCTGTAAAGTTATGTACTGCTGTAACATGTATAATCTACTGAATGAGGTTAGAGGAGAAAAAAAGATAGCTTCCTTTTCTTCCTTTTTGGTTTTTCAAGTTTTCGTGTCTTGTGCGCTTGATGCGTTTACTACTTTGTAATATGACCTTGAGAGAGTCCATTTGTGAGCTTCCTATTGTGTTTGTGTAGGTCTTCCACACAATAACAAAGGAGGAAACATATTTTAAATGGGCAAATATGACTGTATAAGCACAGCATTTTACAAAGGTACTCCAGAGCAGATATGGTACCGAAGTATATTAAACTGTAAGCTCTTTGAGGAGGGCTTGTTGGGATAGTCTTGCACAATGGTGGTCTTTAAGCTGCTGTTATAAATGTCAGGTAATCATACAGATAATAGTTTTAACTATTGCTTTGATTAAAAAAGACCAGATTACAAGTTGATCATGCCCCTTGAAAGTATATCTTTTTCTCATTGCTTCCTGGTGAGTTAATCTTAACATATGCTATAGCGATCATATTTCCCCAAAGGTAGAGAGTCATTTATCTTTCACAATTTTGCATGGACCTGTCCCAACAATCGCCTCAGATTCTGTATTTGCTTTGCTTAGTGATCAAGAGCAGCAAACCACTAAGGTTATACTGTAACTAAACATTTTCCCCAAATGTTCCTCTTGTTAAATGTTGATCAAGCATAACTAAATTCCTTGTTAAATTAAATGTGCTGACATATGTTCAAGCTTAACATTGTTTAAAAAACACCAAAACCAAGCATTTTTAAGGTTTTGTTTATTTGTAGGTACTGTGTTCATAACTATTTTCACCCTCTTTGATTTCTTTTCTGTGAATATATTCAGAATAATTCACATTATTTTCCTAATGCTACCCATTACTTTGGGTGGTTGCTGAATGGAACTTAGTGGTTATAAACAGTAGCAAAAGTACAGGATTTTTATAAGTGATAGTTAACCCCCCCTCAAAAATCACCTGGCATAAAAACTTTAAGGTCAAGTTCTTATTTTGTTTTAAGATTGTTAACATACAAAGGATGGCAAAAACTGTGTAAGTTAATTAAGTCTTCTAAACCTAACTTCCAAACAAATTAATCTTTGCTTCAGATATATTATAGCTAGAGAATACAAATATATATATGCCCACAGTTATAATTTGTGCGGAAAGGGTAATACAAATACGAGTATAGAACTGGTCAGGGAATACAAGGTGAAATCCTGGGTTAATTCAAGTCAGAGACAAAACTTTTATTGGTTTTAATTGGACTGGGATTTTGTTTACATTATGGATTGTCACCGTTTTGTTAGAGTCATCTTGTACATCATTTGCATGGGAGTTGAAAAGGTCTGTTTCCTCAGGGTAAAACTTGCTTTCTTGTTTGAACAAAGAGGTAGCCTGTTTGAATGAAGTTAGTTTTTCCATGTAAATAGACAAAAGTTTGTTTTGAAGTGAGGGGCATTTTCAAAGAATGAGCTTCTAATGCAAGGAAAATGTATTTTTATTTGTGCACTGATTATTAGATGAACTTTTGATTACTTATGATTGTAATCCACATTCATCTAAAATCACGCAGAAGAGACTAATTGGTTCATAGAGCTTTGATAAGCAAAAACCCACTTTGTTGGATGCTATGGTCAAATGGACCAATCATAGCACCTGACAAAAGTAGGTTGTAATGAAGTGGCATACTTAAAGGTGCTACTTTTTCTTTAGGTCCTCAGTTCTTGAATGTGCAATAATAAATAGTAATAATAATAAATCAACCTATAGACAAAATCCTCTTTCTCAAGCAGTGTTCAAGGGATATTGTAGCAGTTATGGTCCAGGAAGAATGCTCTGCATTCAAAGGCCTGTCTAAGTCTATCCCAACCATGGAGTTGGTGCAATAAAATATATTACCCACAAAAATCCTTGCCTCTTATATACTCATTTTCATTTTTTCTTGTATTTCTAGATTCAGATTATACATAGCTACAGTTTTAAAAGTTTTCTGATTGATTCTGACTACAACACAGACACTCAGAATGAGACAGTCTGGGCATATCTCCTGAAGAATACACAGGAAAGCAAATTCAGGCCACAAGAGTTGGGGACAGATGAAAGAGGAGAAGATCCAAAAAGATGCAATGTAAGATGCATATAAAATAAGATGTATATAAAATAAGACTTG